ACACTTGTTTCACCACACTGAGAAAGATGTAAATTTCGTTTCGAAACAGTTGACATTTTCAAAACGTTTTCGTTTCTAAGGAGACTGAAACGAATCAGTGATGAAATCGATGTATTTGTAATTTTTCAATGCATTTGCAGAATTATTTTGGAATATTTCAAGATACTTTGATATATTTCGACTAATATTTTAGAAAAATAATTTTTAAATTTTTTATTTTTTTCATTATATTTCCGAAATAGATTGAAACGTTTTCAAAACATGTTGAAACGTTTCCGTTTCCTAGGTGACTGAAACAATGTACTGAAACGAAATTTTGATCCTTGCACAGGTCAATCTTTTGACGTCTTTTATTTTCCTAAATGATAAGGTTTAACTATTTCTCACGCCACTACAATTAGAATTAAAAGTTCTTAAGTGGACAAGTAAATCTAAATTGTTCTAGAAATTCACATATTGTTGTGTTATACTCCAAAATCACTACCATTAGGCACTTTGATCAAAGAGTAATTTTTGGGTATACTCGGCTATCAGTTATTCCCAAACTCACATATCATTATCCTATTCACAAGCTTATATTCTTCCAAGGAATCCTATCCTTCAAATGTTTCATAACTACCACCAGGTTTTGCCAGCCCAATTCCTACAATGTCATTCAAGATCTAAGCCCCGATAGCATTCTTTGATGCCTCGAACCCAGTCCCCTTAGGTTTTGTGTGCGAACCAAATTACCATCAATATTCTCAAATATAAAGCACTAAAATCCTCAACAATTGAAAATGAAATCTCCGAACATAAAAACAAAGGATTACAACAGTAAGAATACTTATTAATTCTCATCCAACCTCTTCAAATGATCCAATCAGTTACCCCAAAATCAAAGTGTGAGTTTGGAAGACCCCGTAAGCAATTGAAAAAAACACAATACATGACAACATGCTAAGCACCACTCAGTTCATTCCACTATCATACATGCCACTTGAGACCACAACATCTCTTAATCATAACATGCCACTGAATGCGCCCTTACACATGTGCCAATAGCTTATACAGCAATTAACCAACCAATGTTTTTTCAATACAAACAACCAATATCACATCAAAAGAAAACTCGAAGGAACATCAAAACATCAATCAATCAGAATAAAAGAACGATAATAATGAAACGACTTTTTGCAAAGAGATTTAGAAACAAATACATATTGTGAGATAAACGACTTACATAATCGGTGCCACCTACACCATTTGTCCTATCTACTACCATATGTCTCGGTCTCTTTCTCTCACATGCGATTTCACTGGTACATTTTTCTCTCCTCCTTTGAAGAATAACTACTCTACCTCTTTATATGGAATTTGTCAGATTCCTAATCACGCTAAAAAGTCCATAACCTACTCCCTATAGAAATAAAGCTGGCTAAAATCTCTCCTTGTAATTAGAATTTAGAAGTTCTAAGTACACCTATAAATCGATGATGTAGACCTCAAATAAACAGCCTAGAATTTCTTAATTTTTTTTCCACGTCCTTTTAAACTTTTTTTTTTGGGGTCATCACAATTTTAATGGAGACCGAAATGAATCAGTGATTGAATATCTAAATTCTAATGTTTCAAGGTGTTTCGGTATGTTTCAACCAATGTTTTGGAATGTTGCGTAAACAATTTTCAATTTATTTCTCCGTTTTTGTTCTTTTTTTGGAATGTGTCCAAAACATTTTCGAAAAAATTGCTTTTCCTAGGCGATCGGAGCGAAATTTTGATCTTTGGCTACGTAGATGACACTGGAACAAAAGATGCAGCTTGACAGCTGGAAAATCTAGTTAAAGTTAGCAGCACAATTTTAAATTATAGCAGCATACCCATATTCCAAGACAACAACTCCAGAAAACAGTGCAGAAATGATCAGCTAGCAGATTTCCATCACGAGCAGCGTTTTTTTTTTTGGTTTTCCCTTGTATTCCGTTTTCTAGTTGTTTTAGTAAACTTTTTATTTTTTTCATCAAAATAGAAAAAATTAATTTCTGAAACTGCAATATGTGAAATAATTCTCTAATTTCGAAACTTGTCTTGTTGGCACTAAGCAGGCACAGTTCAAATGTTACAAGGACAAGTGTTAAAAATCACAAATTGAATGCAGGGGGACAAGTCTCAAATTTGTAGATGCGATTTTCACTGTTATTGATAAAAAGAAGTTGGCCTGAAGAGAACTAATTGCATGCAGTTGACCTTCTATTTAACTTCTTACCCTGAATGACTTTACAGTATGATAGTGAAGAGATGGTGCACAGTTTGTGCACTCACAAGTCACACCTACACAATTAGATATGAACATGATATTTGGCTTTCATATTTGTTCACATCAGTTTTATCATTATTGAGCTCTATCTCTTTTGCAGGGAATATGTTATGGACTTGGCCTTTCAGCTACTAAGGTGATTTCTTATTTTGCTGCATATTTATGTTCACTATTCATTTATGAGGATGATATAGTTTTATTTACTATGATATATCAAAAGCAGATAGCTTAAAGGTATGTCTTCATTTTGATTATGGGAAGAAATGATAAATGCTAGTTTTTTTTTGGGTGGTAACCAAAGAGATTCCTATCCTACTTGTGCCCTATTTGAAGTAGGCTGGGCCGCAGGAGTCACACTAAATGATTAATGTTGCTTCTTAAAACCAGAAAATTATATTCTTTGCATCTAATTATATTTCCATTTCTGCAATATACAGTTGTATGCCTTCAGTCTCTAATTCTGATAATCAGGAATCCATTTTTTGACCCCCAAGATCTCTCTGCATTTCTTGGGTAAAAGCGTGCATGTTGAGTGTTATTTTAAATAGTAGATTATGAGGCCGAACACCAAATGGAGGTGACAGTCGAAGACCAAATGGAGAACTGCCAACTTTTCATATAATCATGAATGCATCAAGCAAAATAAGGGCTGTGTTTGAAGCTAAGTGTGAATGAGTAGATAGATGAAACTGTAGCTTTTCAATATTTTGATAGCTGGATTACATCTACTCCAGACATCACCCCACACACACACATCACCTAAGCCAAATATTTACTTGACATTTTCTCCAGAAATGGCAACTGTTGAATCAACAAACTTAAATATTGAAGCTACTGAGTGAAAACATTTTAAGCCTAATGCGAAGGAAGTCATTAGTATTTGTTACCTTAAGAGTGAGGCATCTTTATCAAGCTGCAACCACACTCCTCTGATCTAACGGAACACAAAACTGCTCAGCCAAACACAACACTATATTCCACTACTTCCTGTTATTCAACATCATCATCAAACATGCATTAGTTGAGCTATACGAAGGATCAACTCATCAGTTTAAATTCCCCTTTTAATGAAAACAATGGTAACTCTGAACCTATGAAGGAAAATGTGGATGTGCATCTGTGCTGAGGAAATATGATAAATGCAGAGAAGAACCCGCAATCTTCACCTCCTATTCATCTTTAAAAAAGACAAAAGACATCGCACATTGTAAAAAAGGTGTCGCTATGCATATGTCTTCATTACTAGTTTAACAACAAACTCCAAGCGCCAAGAAATATATATCAGTTTCAAGCCTGCACCTTCGCAAGATGTAATAATAATTACCCTGGAGAAGTAAAAAGCAAGTAGTGGTAGTTAGGGTTAGGGCAGAGGCTATGACACATGGAGTTTGCGAGCTTATGTGGCTTCAAATCCTACTGAGTGAGCTCGAAATTCGTGGTGATGAACTTTTGAGACTGTATTGTGATAATAAGGCAGCTATCAACATTGCACACAATTCAGTTCAACATGATAGGACAAAACATCTTGAGATTGGACGACACTTCATCAAAGAGAAGTTGAATAATTGTTTAATTTGTATGCTTTATGAAATCAAAAGATTAGTTGGCCGATGTTTTTTACAAAAGGGCTTAGTAGCAAGTTTTTTCATCGTATCATTTGCAAGTTGGGCATGAGGGACATTTATGCACCAATTTGAGGGGAGTGTTATGTTCTGTTATATTAGGATGTAATCCGGTACTTTTGGCACTTGTGTGGTTATATATGTCTTGAGAGGTAGCTGTGTAACCCTAACACACTACTCTTCTCTCTTAATTCTTCTCTTCCCTAACCCTAATTACTTCACAATGTAACTCATTTTAAAGTATCCTGCTGATATGCACTACTTTTTCCGCTGTTGATAATGTTGTTCCTGATCACTATATCTGCTTTGGTTAGGTGAATCTCATTGAAAGGATGTCAAGGCTATACACTTTCAGTTGTTTTCTCTTGAATCCGCCATCTGTGCATGACATTATGAATGAGATTGCAGCTGCTTGGGTTGACAATGGAGGGAGTTTTGTACTTGTAGTTTCTAATCACAACAAGGACCTCTTTCTTTTTCTAAGCAATAGTGGTTGGCTGACTGTCATTCTAAGTGAGTATTTCTATGTCTTTCTTGAAAGAGTATCTTTGTGCATGTGGGAGAAAGATGAAATAAGTTCTTTTGTTATATGTTAAAGTATGAAGTCCAAGCCTTGCATTAAGAATCTCAGTTTAAAAGAATAACAACCAATACTATGTCTAGTATTTTTTTTCCACAATAATGAACAATAATTTTGTTTATAATAAGCAAACAAGTGTTACAAAAACCCATCGAATGTAGTCAAGTCGTATAACCCAAAAATGGTTTAGGACATTGAAGACAAATTCAATCTGCGTTATGCTGTCCAACTGGCTGTAATACTGAAAAGAAGAACATTCTCAAAATCCTTGGTCACAGATGCCTAAAAAGAAGCCAAGAAATAAAACATTTCCCATAAATGTTCAACCTCCTCCTGTTTATCTTCAGGATTCTCGAATTTCTCTCCATTCATAAAACCCAAATACTAGCTAAAAAAGCATGATGCCAAAGGGTCTTTCCTCTTCTATTTTCTCCCAAGCCCATCACATCGAAGCAAAGTGCAAAGCATAGAAGACATGGATATTGGACCTAGTGAAGGCCAACAAAGTCCAACGAATTAAATGGGTTTGTTCCATAGTGATAGAGCCACATGACAATGCAAGTGTGTGGATCACCTATACACATAACACGATTGTGACAAAAGACATGCTGACTGCCTTCTCTTAAATTCCAAATTTTGTTGACAACAATTGAGTTGATCTTGATTATCTTGATAAAATTAGAGGGTAATGTTTGGATAGTATCAGTTTGATGTTGAATGCATTTCCTGAGTCAGATGGAATCCATGCTAGTGATTTTCACATGGTGTATAAGGAGTGACCTGCAATAAGGGCTTTTTCAAGAACTGTATTCTGGTGTGGTCATAATCTTTTGGCTGTGCAACATGAATTTTCTCTCTTCACAAGAGGCATTATTGCAACCCTATAACTCTTATTGTTTTTTGGATCTTTACAAGAGCTCTTAGCCAATGATCAGCTGATGGTGCGCCACACTACTTTTGATGGTTAAAATGCTCCTTGTCTACATCATTCCAGCCCGAATTGGTTTTCCTACACAATTCATTAAATCTGTTTCCATGCTAGTATAGGCTATCTTGTTGACATGTAATTTACAGGGATATTTTGACTTTGCCAGCGACATAATGTTTAATTCTCTGCTAAAAAGTGATTCCTCCTTTCATCTCAGATGTTGAAGGTGGCAGTGCAAGTGAGGATTCAAGCACAGTTTTCATCAATAAGTTAGAAGAGTTGCCCATGATTATCTGCCACTTGAATAGAAAGGTAGCCAGTAATTCTTCTCCCCATCCTGCTAACTGTCAGGAAGGCCATTTTATTCTGGCCTTATGCACTCAAGAAATTACCTCGAGTTACTATGATATTGGAGGATTGTGGTATACCACTTTTTCATGCTAATACTGTGACAATGCTTAGGGAGTGAAGCAACTCTGTTTTATGGAACGAAATTGAGATAAGAACGAAATTTATGGAGTGATACTGGTTGCCATTTTCATTGACATAAGAACAAGGGAGTCGTTTGGTAACGTTTTGTTTTCGCATCTTGAAAAAAATTAAAAACATAAATAATTTTTGTCTCTATTTTGTGATAAATACTAAAACAGAAAATATGTTTGGGAGTCATTTTTGCCTATCAAATTATGAGAATAAAAATAAAAAATATGTTAGTAACTACTTCAAATTTTATCCTAAATATGTTTGGTATCTATTTGGCAATCAAATCCCAAATGGCAATTTAACAATCCCAAATGGAAATACAATTAGTTTCAAATGATAATTTAATCCCAAATAACAATTCAATCAGTCCTAAATGATTCAACACAACACATACACAGAGAATGAACACAACAAACACATACACATAGACTCAACACAACACACACACAGATCTGTGCATATATATGCACAGCTTCTGGGTTTTACAGAGAACAGGGAGAGAGGAGATAGAGAGAGCCAGCGATTGAGGTGGATTTCACAGCTTCTGGGTTTCATGGAGGCAGAGGTAGTAATGGAGGTGGGCAATGGGCCAACGATTTGTCTGGTGGTCTGATACGGAGAAAGGAGAGAGGAGGGAGAGAGACAGAGAGAAGTGATGGAGAGGGAAGAGGAATGAAATGAGTTTTTATACTTCAACAAAAGAAAACATTTTTTTTGCCGTTAAGAGGGGTCAAAGTCCGAAACTCATTAATTCTCCACCTTTTTTGCGCATGTTCTCTCTGTTTTTGGTGTTCCTTAGAACATCTTTTTTTTGTTCCAATTTTTTGTCTTTGTTTCCAAACAACTAATGTAAAACAAAAACAAAAACAGTATCTAAACATATTTTTGTTTTCATTTTTGACAAAAATTGAAAACAAAAATGCAAAACACAAGACAAAGACAGTAAACAAACAACCCCAAAATTTTTCTTCCTTATACTCAATTTCATTATCACTTTGAAAATTTTTGACTTTGGTATTAGACTGAGTACTCACCATTTTATGGAAAGATCTAAAGCATGAGAAAACTTCACATTTACTGTGAAATAGGTAAACTCAAGTAAGTCGAGAATAACAATTAATAAATGTAATAAACCAACAATAACCAGAAGTAGACACAACACAGAACGCCCTCCACACATCTGAATGAATAATGATAAAAGGTGCAGTACTTTATCACTATTACTAGGATAAGATAAATGTTTATGATTGACAAATTTACAAGCATCACAAACAAAAGAATGTCTACTACACTGTTTCACTAGATTAGGAAAAAGATGGTCTAAAACATCAAATGATTAATATCCCAAGCGTCTATGCCACTGGTATAAGTGCGGAAGGGTTGAAGCACCCTCTGCCTGGAGAGCTTGATAGATAGACGGAGAAGAAGCTTTAGCATCCAAGATGTACAAACCACCATATGTTTTATCACTTCCAATCATTTTTTCTAGTTCGAATTCCTGAAAGATACAATGAATATGGAAAAAAGTCATTGAACAATTTAAAGATTTGGTGATTCTGGTAACAAATAATAAATTTGTAGAAAAATTGGGGATATGAAGAACAGATGATAGAGATAAGGTTGAAGAGCAATTAATTGAACATTTTTTTGAAATAGAGGATAAAGTTACATATGCCACCCTTACCTTATCCCTACCTGAACATGTAGAATATGAAGAGAAAAGACTAGAGGAATTTGTTATGTGACTCGTGGCTCCAGAGTCGATTATCCGAGGAGTGTATACGGATGAAACAATAAATACACTAGCAGATACACCGGTTTGAGCAAAATTGGAAGAAGAAGAGGAAGCATGATTAGAAGAAACATCTAGCTGAGCCATCACACGTCTAAGAGTTTGTATCCTGAGAAAAAGATGTCAATGTACTGTCCATGTACATTGTACCAGAAAAACACCAAAAATGACGAAATCATGACCAACGAAATTGCACACAGCACCAAGATTCATACCACAATAGCAAGAGGCCTCAAACTAAAGGCTAAAAAATGACCTGGGGTGACGTTGCCTCAACCAGAGGCTACAAACCCAGATCTGGATCCAAACAACGGCGAAGAACCCTATAGCTTAGCCTTAGATTTGCCCCAAATATGCAATATCCAAATAACTCCAACAGTAGCAGAAGAACGACCAAAACATTGCAACCCTATAACCAAACAACGGGTAAAATATTACCAGAGGGCAAAACGCAGCAGCCAAAACAAAATCTAAAGCCAAACTAAGGTCAAAAAATACAACCTGAAGTAAATAATTCTAAGTCAGCCCCCAAAGTCACCTCAAAACCAGGAACAAACTAGAAATTTGGACCCCAAAATTAAAATTGCAAAACAGTGGCTGAATAATAGTCTTCCAATAGCAAAAGTGTCTCAGTAGTAGCCAAACAAAATATGTACAGTAGCAGTAGCCTTATAGTAGCAATAGTAGTAGTAGCAAAGCATGAACTAGAAGGCTGGAATAGTAGCCCAACCAATAACAGAGGCTGAAAAAGCCAATCAAGTCTGAAAAAAAGGCCAAAAACCTCTCAAATTTGCTCTAATCACAACCAATCTTCATAGGTGATGTGGATCTACCATTTTCGCATCTCATATAACAGATTCGAAGCCAAAAACATAGGTGGAATGCCCAAAAATTGGGTCGTTGTATGATAGACGAAAAAAATCCAAAAAAAGCTTCAAAAATAGAAAATCTCACCGGATGGATTTAAAAAAATCCAGACAATCACTATAAATATCAGGACAAAATTTCGAGTCTCCTATGAACATTTCAAAAAATTCTAACATAGGCGAGTCGTTGACGTCAGGTTGTCAATTGCTGACGTCAGCCACCCTGTTTTATGTCTGATAAATTGCAACGCTTTCTGATGACTCTAAGGCTTTAGATTTGGATTGATGCTTTGATACCAAGTTGAATTATTATGTAATTAGGGTTTATGAAGGCTTGAGGTCCAATGTTACTACTTGATTTGTGAAGGCTTTGCTTTCTTCAGGTCAAGGGTTCAACTTCCCCTCTCCCTTCCCCTTCCCAAAAAAAAAAATTATTATGTGATTAGGGTCTATGAGAAGATGAGAAGAAGAAGAAGAAGAAGAAGAAGAAGAGAAGAGAAGAAATTGTGGGAATAGAGTAGTGTGTTAGGTTACACATCTACACTCAGCTTTTATATATAATCTCAAAGTACAAACCTACCCTTAATTAGAAATAACACATGACATAATAGGTACCAAATTTTGCACCTCTATATCTATAAATCGTCAATATTATGTTTTGTCAGTGTATAAAATAAATAAAAATAAATATGTATCAAGGGCTTGACTACACCTTGCTTCTAGGCTTATGGAAAAAGGTAAATCCGAGGGCTCTTTACTAATATAATATCATAGGGGACACTTCCTTGAAGAAAGCCGTGCTCCCTTCAGCTTTCAAGTAGATAAAGAAGTTCAGGCTAGTGACATCAATGTATCTTTCCGTATCCATATCCTACATTTTTAGATTTCAGGGAATCCTTATGGTCATATTGTGTTGTACTGTTTCCCGTAGCTGTATCCATCCTTTCTAGACTTGCTCTAATACCTCCTGATGCAGCATGATGTGAGGAATTGGGGCTTAGCACTCTTCTTTGGTAGCTTGACAACTAGACCACAAGATAATCTCAACAACCAAATAAGAAAATAACAAAGAATATAGAAATCAGTTAAGAAAGGAGAGAGAAATTGGTTAAGAAACGAGGCAAAAAAACAGAAGGAATATAATTGATAAGAGTACTGCAGAGGCAACGCCTACTCTTTCAAAAGAAGAGATATTGGTGGCTATAATTTCCTCAGACAGCTCTTTATAGGCTGCTGGACAGGTTCTATACCTTACGCTTGAATCCTTGTAATCTTAGCCTTACAAGTGTCTACACGCAAAAGGATACAAACTTAACTAGAGCATAATAATTGTTTATAAGGCAACTAAAAACAAGATTAAATAACATGGGGTAGCAGCACGTGAAGCCTAATACACATGCAATATTTCATTTACTGGTCGCTACTGCAGCTGCATTAATCTTTTGACTGTTTGAATTGTGGATCAAGTTGAGAACCTGAGTTACTGAGGGTATTGTGATTGATGGAGACCCGGTAAGAAATTTCGAGGAGAGAAAGATTAATAGATAATTGGCATTTGCAGTGGAAATAGCAAAAGATGCAGGATGGATATTTGCTCGAAATTAAGGTCAAGCCTATATGAGTTGGATATTGCAAAATGTGGAAATGAATTTGTTGTAGTATTTGTTTGTGCATATGAACTTTATCCGTTGTCTGTTGTTGGCATCTAAAGTATTTCCAATGATCTCTTTCATATTAGATGATATTCTCATTAAATTACTGTCATTTCAACTACCACATCATTTTTGTAACTAAATCTGTTTTGGTTTATGGCAAACAGGCAGTAGGCAAAAACTACATGATGGTTGGTTACATAATGAAGCCTTCTCGTGAAGAAGATTTTTCTAAGGTCAGTTCTTTCTGTTAAGCAAATGCCGACATCACTGTGTGCTAATAAGGAAGAAAAAAGGTTGATGGTAGTAAAAAACAAAAGTACTCACGACTCTTTAAGTTTTCACAAACGAATATTGTGTGATACTCTTAGATAAAAAGACCTGCATGACTCATTTGGGTGTCTTTTTGTAGTCCTCCTACATTATTATTTGTGATTGTGCTTAATTGATGCCATACTATCAAGATTGTAATTTACGGCATAGCTTAAGTATTTGATCTGGCTGATTTTGGGAATAACAAATCCTCTAGGTTGGTTTGACCAGACTATTCTAGCTAGTGGATGCTTATTCTTGACTCACTTATGGTATTGTAATTTGAGGTTTACAATCATTGTACGTAATATTTTCAATAAAGGTTTAAGTCACATACATTGTACTTTTGATGTCGACAGAGAGGTGCATTCCCCCTTTATCCTACTCAGAACGGGCTGATATTTATGCCACTTTCACTTGAGCTACCCATATCATCTCAGCTAAAACAAGTTGACATAGTTCTCCATAAAGCAACTGATGAGATTCTCTCCGTTGAAATTAGCAATTCTTCAGAATTGCCAAACAAAATTACTTATTCCAGGGGCATGCAGGAGTTGCAAAGGTAACTTCCATATTTCATTAAATTGTTGCTGGTTCATATTGTATGTATGGAAAAATTAAAAAGTGTAAACTGTATTACCTTTTACATGAAATAACCCATGACGTGGCATAGAATTATCTTTGAAAGTAGTTACTTGTCTTTTGGCCAATATGCTATTGCATTTATATGATAATGGTGGCTTTGTGGTTTTATTTGCCCGGGAACCAAAATGAGATGTAATGTCTCCGTGAAGTTTTTACGTCAACATCACTGGAGAATTATTGAAGCACATTAAAAATAATGAAGATCACAAATTTCAAGTCTTAGATTTGTAGTAGTTCATTTACATAAAATTAATGCCATCTAGAAGTATGCAATCAAAATGCATGATGGAACATGTAGTCTTAAAGGTGTATATGCTCATTTGATATGTATTTGTACGAATATATGAATTGATTTGAATACATGCAGCCATGCTAGAGTTCATAAATATACGATTGCCTCACTTTTAAATCCTGAAACTGCAAGTCTTGCTAGCTTTCAAATTATTTTTATTGGGCATGTGAATGATGTCGTAAAATGGTTGAATTGTTTATTATTAATGCCCTAGTTCCCAGTAGGCTAAGATAACCGCTCTATTCCGTATTACTGACCTATCAGATACTGCCTTTCTTTGTTAGACACAACACCCTTGTCACCTCACATTTGTCTGAATTGAAAAGAGACCTGCAAGTCTTGCTAACTTTCAAAATATTTTTATTGGGCATGTGAATGAGGTCATAAAATGGTTGAATTTTTTATTATTAATGCCCTAGTTACCAGTAGGCTAAGATAACCACTCTATTCCTTATTACTGCCCTATCAGAGACTGCTTTTCTTTGTTAGACACAACATCCTTGTCACCTCACATTTGTCTGAATCGAACACCTGTTACCTTTTTCATGACGTTTTGAGAGGTTATGTCATGCCATGTCAGAAAACACAAAGGTGCTATAGTTTAATTGTTTGGTGTATGCGGTTACATAAAATACGGTCCAGGACAATTGTAATCTGTTCACAGAAATGAGATTTTACTTTTAGAGTTTATACTTTTTGAGAATTTTCATTTTCTATGAGGTACTACAAATTCCAACTTAATTGGCTCATACAACTAAGATCCCTTATATTATGTTATGCCTTTTGCCAGGTATGTCGAGCACCAGCCGGATTGCTGTGTAATCGATCCATTTAATAAGGTTTATCCTGTGTTGGATCGATTAATAATCCAACAAATTCTACTTAGCTTGGAAAAGTTCAACATAGAAAGTCGTTGTAAAATCAGGGGCCCCAATTTTCTCAAGGTCTTTTCTCCAGAATGTTATCTAATTTATGCTTGCATTGATTTCAACAAATTGATGGAAACAACACTAAATCTACTTATGAATATTATGTTTGATAATCTTATCTAGCTGGCAGCATTTGAAATTTTTTTTCAATAATATTATTGTTCATAAAACACCAATGAAAACAGTACAACATCAGTTAAAGGTGGACAAGTTGTCCAAACCAATAACCGATCAAAAATACTGAAAATAAATCAAGACGACATGCGGCATGAAGCTGTCCAACTTGATGTGATTCAAGAAAGAGGAACATATTCAAACTACTTAGTCTTTGAAGCCAAAAGGAAGCTAAAAAGTAAAGCCGATCCTATAGTCCTTCCACCTCCTCACTTTATCCTTAAAAAATCTTGCATTCCTTTCTAACCAAACAGCCCATATGGTAGCAAAAGAAGCACAGTCCCGTAGAGTCCTCCACCTTCTATTGCTTCCTCCATCCAAAACATCCAAACAAAACATAGATGACATAGTATTCGGCCTCACCCAACTAATTCCCATATGGTAAAACAACTTGTTCCATAGTGAAGGTTGGGTGAGGCCAAGTACTACGTTTGTCCACTGCTGGATCAAAGGTGTGGTTGAGTACTAGGTTTATCCTGAGTACTCTGCCTCAACCAACCTATGAATTGTTTTTCATGTATTATGTGCAAAGATGAGGGTGTGAATCATTTATTTCTATATTGTCCCATTGCTTTCACTATGGAACAATTTGTTTTACCACGAGGGAATTAGTTGGGTGAGGTCGGGTACTATGTCATCTATCCGGGTAAGGATCAAAATATCGTTTCGAAAAGGTTAAAACGTTTCCGTTTCCAAGGAGATCGAAACGAAACAGTGATGAAATCGAAATTCTGATATTTCGACGTATTCCATAATGTTTTTAAATGTATTATAATATTTCAATACATTTGCACAATTCTTTTAAAATGTTTCAAGTTATTTTAAGATATTTTGATATATTTCCATCAATGTTTTAAAAAAATAATTCTTAAATTTTTTATTTTTTTCGTTATGTTTTCGAAACAGGTCGAAACGTTTTCGAAACACGTCGAAACGTTTCCGTTTCCTAGGTGACCGAAACAATACACCGAAACAATATTTTGATCCTTGTATCCAGGTGGAAAACAAATCATAGGTTTATCCCGTGTTGGATGTGTTAACTTTGATCAATCATAGAAAAGTAAGAGAAAGAATAAGAGAATATTATTGAGGCACAATATGACAGAACAACCTTAAAAGAAAAATACATATAAAAAGTCTTTATATAGTTGGGCAACATAAGAGAACACAAATGACTAAGTTACCTCTAAGTCTAAATATGCTAACTATTCTAACACTCTCCCTCAAACTCATGTAGTAGTAAAAAACATCAAGAGTTTGTCAGGAAGAAAACGAAAGTGAGTGATAGTATGCGACTTTGTGAAGAAATCTACTAGCTGCATAGTAGAAGAAAGAAAGGGAAGAGAGATAATGCCCAACTGAAGATGATGACGCACAAAGTGACAACAATCTCAATATGTTTTGTGCGCTCATGAAACATTGAGTTATGAGCAATCTGAATAGCACTAGTATTGTCACAATATATAGGAGTCGGCGTAGATAATATGATGCCAAGATCAGTAAGGAGCCATCGTAACCAAAACTATCTCAGCT